AAATATTGTATAAATATTGATAAGCTAATAAACTATATAGCAGTACGAATAAAGATAAGAATAAAAAGAGGTAATGGTGAATCAAATGGTTTTTCTTTAGAAGAGACAATTTGAGCTCAAATAGTGAATGTTCGAAAGATTTATGTGCTCAAATTATGTTGAAGTTTACTAAAAGCTTATTGACTGTTTATCAAATTTCTTTATCAGACAAATATGATAAATAATTTAGAAGGAAGTTGAATTCAATTACTGCCTACGTGCAATAACCACAAGTTCTTGCGCATTGTTGCATCATTGTTGTTCGAAATGCACCGCCACAACTATTTGATGCTCTTATTGCTTCACAGCCTTGTCGTTCGTCTTTACAATTTTGTGTTGGAGATGATAAAGTTGTCGCTAAAATCCATGCTAAAATATAGGCTTGCAGTTCTGGAATAAATTATAAAAAATTTTGCGGATTACTTGATAAACAGTCGCGTGAATTGCATGATCTCTGGCACATGCTCTTTAATCTATCATTGGTACAAACACCCAGTGGCACTAAAACGTCGCAACCAACGATAGTATCAGGACACATGTTTGCAGCACCGGGTAAATGACAAAGGCCACAAGTCTGCGGGCAAAATCGTAGAGCAAAATCTGGGATGCTAGTACAGAGTGACCTTGAAAAGTTTCTGCACGGACCTTCTCGGCCTCCAACTGAAATTAATGATCTTTTCATAGATTGTGCCTTTTATCTTTTTCCTTCTTCGATAGTAACTTTTATTTTCCATGCTAATCCGCAGATTCTTATGCAAATAGTTATTGCAGATAATTTTTAGTACCCTGCCACTGAATTTTGGACACTTATAAGGCTTATAATCAAAATTTTCTCTTCTCTTTTTCATTTTCATTTTGTTAATGAAAATCAACTTTTTAACTCCTGTATATTTATATATTAGTATTCTTGTAATTTGATGAACTCATCTAAAATAAAACAACAAAGTGAGAAAATTTTGGCGCAAAAAAAAGAACAGCGAACATATTTAAATATATGAAAAATGGTTTTAAAAAAGGGAAAAAAATATGAAAAAAGCAAATTTCCTGAAGATTTCCAGTTTTTGGATTTTTAAAAACATTTTAAATACAATATTTTTATTTTCATTATTTTCTTTTTGAATATTCTTTGATTCCATTAGAATTTTCTTCTAAAATTATTCAAATATTGCGATTATTATCTCTCTAAGAATAATAAATAATTAATCAAAGTTAGATTCTTTATTGGTGCTAAAGATTTTCTTATAATTTTCTCAAGACTTCTCTTCTTCAACCTTATGGATTCTTCTGATCATTTTGGTACTAACGCAGACGAACAGACGAACTATAATGTTCGAAGATTTGGCGCAATTTACATAAATTCTCTTTTCATTATAACATTATAATTATTTATTTATTATTATAATTTATATGGATTACCTTGAGCCCATCTCAGCAGCTTCATTAACACAAAGCGCTTTATTAAGTATATGATCGGCAATATTTTAAGATTCCATTACTCTCCGCAATTTGAGGCAAAAAGGTTAATTTTAATAAAATGCGATGGAAACAAGCAAAATTTGCTAGCATTAGTAAACTTTAAGCTTCACTGCGAGTTCCATGTAATTTGAAGAGAATCATAGCACGTCGATCCTTTACGTTAGTTGACCACAACTAAAAATACCATTTAGCCAAAACAATCATTTAGCAACAAAGTTTAGTTCATAGTATAACTAAAAAAATAATTTTATCTCGCTTTAATTCGATTCTTATTATATATTTCGATGTTCTGCGTCACGTCGAAATAAATATACTTATACAAATAAACTAATATATAAATATACAGGAGTTAAAAAGTTGATAAAAACTTGACAAGTTGATAAGCGAAAAGCATTATTGAATGAAATTTTTTCCACGCTTTAAGCTTTTATCAGATTTTATCAATAATCAGCGTCATTGTCAAAATAATATAAATATTTTAAGAAAAAGTGGTATAAATTAATTAAATTTTAATTAAATGATAATAATAAGAATGAAAGAAATAAATCATCACTGCACCGTCGTACAGTTACTCTCTAATTTTTGCTGAGAATTTTTATTTTTTTCTTCTCTTCAGCTAAAGAATATTATTGTTTTTCATCCAAAAATATTATTTTTTATCAAATTAATTGTGCCACAATAAATAATATAATAATGAATTTAGCCTTGATTTTCTGCTTTCATGCCCTTCAGTTTTATCTATTTCCGCATTTTGCGTCATTATACAATAAATATATTTTGAATAAATAGGCTAAAAATATTTGCTTATGAATACAATTCCGACCGATTTGATGAATTGAAGAGAGAAATTTTTAAATGGAATGAAGCAAATACAACCGTTCATTCCAAGCGGAAATAATTTTATGGAATCTGATTAGCATAAAATATTGCCGTCAGTTAAATGCATAATTGATAGATCGTTTTTTTCTTGCTTTACTGTTCAACATTAATTTGATCTAAAAAATATCACTGTGTGATACAATTTTATGCATAAATAACGCCGTTGACAATAGAAACGAACTTATAATAATACTAATTATATTAATGCCTAAGGCAGTGTGCGATTTCACTTCAAATTCGTTGATGAGTAAATTAAAGAATTCATCGAAAACAACGATATTTCTTCACCCTTAATAATTAGTAAATTGTTGAATATTAAAATCAAACAATGAAATTTGTTCAGAAAGATTTTTTCTTCCTAAATCATGTATGAAAATAAGCAGAAATTTAGCGTTAAATTAATGAAATTGTCATAAGTCTATCGGCGCTATTATGTCGATTTAGATTTTCGATTGTCGCCATTTTGTCGCGTTTGACTGAATTTTTCTTGCTTTATTGTTCAATTTTGTGCGTAATTAACACCGCTGATAATTTGGTCTTCCTGCAAAAAGCTCCATTAAAAGCCAGTGAGTGGTACAATTGAATAAGCAAATAAACAACACCTCTGGTAACAGAAACGAACGAACGATAGTATTAACAATAATAATGCCTAAGGCACTGTTCGGTTTTACTTCACACTTTAATAAATAAAGAAATTCATCGAAAAGAACAATATTTCTTTATCTTTAAGAATTAGTAAATTTTTACGAATAAGGCAGAGTTTCTTCGGGAATTTAGCATTAAATTCGACTAATGAAATTGTTATAGGTTATCGTTGCTATTTTGTTGCTGCATTTAAACACCGACTTGATGATGCCTTAGCCATTTATTCAATTTCACTGAACTGAAGTCATCCACTGCAATTGAGTTATATAAATAATACTACTGGCAAAATAAATTTTCTGTTTTTTATTACATTTTCACTTTTTAATTTTAATTTTTATGTTTTAACTTGTTTTTATGAATATAATTGAAACCTTGATTTGTAGGTTAATGACTTGTTTTTTAGCAGGAGAGTGGCGTAATACGCTGCAAGGTTCGTACTAGAAAAACGGCACACTTCATATATGATGAACGCATGAGGGTTTCACTGGTGCCAGAGTATTTCCGCATATCACTTCATTTACACTTTACGTACAATAATTATTTCAAATAATTATTATTTCAAATAAATAGCAAATAAATAAATAAAACAAAACAATTTACTCATAAATAATTTATAATTTAAACATAATTTCAAAATATAATTAATAAGTATAATTTTAACAAAAATTGGTCGAATAAATGGATCGAATGGATCATTTTTAATTAAAATAAAGCAAAAACAATCGTTCATTTCAAGCACAAATGTTTTTGCGAAATTTATTCATGCATTCATTCAAGCGATGCATTCATTTGTCTGAGCCAAAGTTATTTGAAAATTTAGAATAGCTTTTTTTGGTTTAAATTAAAAATTGCTTTCAAAGCTATTATTATTATTTAAAGTGAAAAATTCGATTGAATTGAGTGATTTGATTGATTAAAGCTGCTTTGAATGGCTTCAGAAACCTTGCAAAAACTATGTTTGAACAGCAGACGATTTCAAGCGGAAGATTATCATCCAAAAATTTTAAAATTCGGTTAATGAGTAGGATTAATGTTATCATAATTGCACGTCATTTGCACGCTTCTCGGTATGAAATGAATGTGTTTCAGATTTCAAAAAACATGTTTGAGCACCTGAAGGCAATTATTTAAATATTAATAACTTTTTTAAAAACTATTAATATTTAAATAATTTAAATAATAATAATTAAATTTTAAATTTCAATATTCAAATAATTTTGGTATGAAAATCCAATTGAATTTAAGCATAAAGGATATTTTAAAAAGATATTTTAAGATATTTTAGCAAAAAGATACTTTAAAAAAATCAAAAATAAAGCTAAAAATCCTCGAAAAACCGAATTTGATTTTAAAATGTTTTAAATTTTAATGTTTTAAATAAATGTTTTAAATTCCTTCTTTTTCGTACTCTTTTAAAAAATTTTCACTATTTTTTATTTATTTTACATTTTATATATATTGTTTCTTCTTTCCCTCAAAACTTTCTCTATTTCGCGTCCACCAAACTACAAAAACACGCGAATTGCCAATTATGAAAGTAGAAATGTTGACTGTATTCTTAAAATACTGCAAATATATATTTAGTATAATATAGTAAATATATATCATATATATTATAATATTATAATATATATTATAATATTATAATATATATTATAATATTTAATCTAATATATATTTAATAAAAAGGTTTGTATAATTATGAAAAAGATGAATAATATGCCAAATTATTTCTTTTTTCGGGGTGAGTGAACGACAAAGATAGGATAAATCGTCTTAGACATTAATATTCATCAAAGGATATACTTTAGGCTTAAGTGGTCAATCACTAAATTATGTCGATTATATTTATTCAAAGCCCTTTTATCATTTATCTAATTTTTTTATCAGATAATTATGATAAATGATAATTCAAGAGAGAAGTGGATTTCAGGCACTGTCTATGTGCAATAACCACACGTTCATGCGCATTGTTGCATCATTGTTGTACGAAATACACCGCCACAACTATTTAATGCTCTTATTGCTTCACAACCTTGTCGTTCGTCTTTACAATTTTGTGTTGGAGATGCTAAAATCTATTAAACATTAGTTTTCATAGTTTCTGTATAATTTCAATTTTTTTATTTCTAATATTTTTATTTATTTCTGAAACAGTTTGTAAAAAATTTCCAAAAATTACTTGATAAAGAGTCGCGTGAATTGCATGATCTCTGACACATGTTTTTTAGTTTATCATTGATACAAACACCCAGTGGCACCAAAACATCGCAACCATCAATAATATCCGAACATATGTTTGCAGCACCTGGTAAATGACAAAGACCGCAGGTCCGTGAAAAATTTCTGGCCCTTCCCGATCTCCGACTGAAATTGAGTATATTTTTAGTTTTTTCTTCAACTCCATTACACTTTAATCTTTTAGTCTTTAATTTTAGTTTTTAATTTTAATTTTAATTTTAATTTTAGTTTTTTTTTTTTAAATAATGCAATAAATATGCAGGCGAAATGAAGCAATCTTTCATGAATTTAGCAATTTCATAAAAATAATAACTGTGAAATATTTACCATTTTCACAGTTATATTCCTTAGTGAAGCAACACGTGGCGCACATTCGTGGACACAACTGCCGAGCCAACATTCTATAGGGAGGCTGACATTTATTTCGCATTTATAATTCATATTTCTATAACACATGAAAGAAATTTTATTCTTATTTCTTAAATTTTGTATTATTGCTGATGGATTTTCTATGAATTTAAATTAATAATTTAGCCGAAAATATAGAATTTCCTTCCAGAAAATATGAATCCAGAAAATTTGTCACAAAAATTAAGTTGAATACGATGGATCTTCAATGAAAATGCCATTCAATAATGAAACGGCTTTTAGTTATAAAATCAAAGAAATTTATATTTTTTCAGTTATCATTTAAAGTATTTGAAATGAATGAACGTAAAATAATGTGAAACAAATTTTAAATGGCTAGAAACTCACTCCATATGATTTTCATTAAGTATATTCCCAAGCGTAGCAGGGTCATGCTCAGGTTTGAATATTGCAGAACAAGCCAATGCATCATCGCGATCTTGGCAGTTCTCGACAGGTACCGAAGGTACAGGAAGGTACGCTTTGTACAGGAGGCATTCCTTGCATTCCTTGCATTTCTGGCATTAGAACATTGCATGCATCTATTGTTACGGAAATGCCTCCATTAGCGAGTTTGCATAACGATGTTAGGACAGGCAAACGTGCTCATTAGTCATTATTTACATCCGATCTATAAATTGAACTTTATATATATGCTGCAAAAGCAATTATTATTTCATATTCCGATTGAGAATTTCACCACTCGACATTGCCTTCAGGTGCTCAAACATGATTTTTGAGATTTGAAGTATATTTATTTCATATCAAATGGCGTGAAAATGACGTTTAATCGTGATATCACTTAAACGATATCACTTTATAAGTGATAAAAGTATTCTTAAAAGTATTCTTTTTGCCAATATTTTGATTTAAATCACTTAATGAACGTCTTTCGCTTAAAACCGTCGATTGCCGTACTCAAACATGGTTTTTAAAATTCCAAATATATTCAAAAGTTCAGATCAGTTGAAACGCAATTGATTACAATAATTACTCATTAAATGAATTTTCGGTACTTTAAATGATAATAAATTTTTAAAGTATTTGTGTATTTTTTAGTGAGAATTTTCGATTCAAGCAAGAAAAAAAAAATTTTTGTCTATTGCACTTTTCATGAAGCTTTTTGCGAACGGCGAAAATCGATTCATTAAAAACAAAAATTCTGACTGAAATTTGCGAACTATTAATTAAAGTTATTCTTTTACCCATTTTCATTGTCTATTACGAAGATTCTTCTTTGCTAGAAAGGCGCTTTTATGCCGAACCTTTGAAATTTTTCAATTTTTTTCTTCTAACAACCCTTCAATATCTATTTTTCGATATTTCTTTTATATATATTAGCGCTCAGGTAAAAATATAAATAAAGAAAAAGCGGGTTTGGTTCGGTAGTTGGAAATTACGGTAAATAATAATTTTTCGAGATGTGCTCAAAATTAGATATTTTTTAGAAAAAAATTTTATTAGCTATCTATGAGAATTTCAGGTATACTTCACGGACAAAGCGATGTTACAATCAAAAATATTTTTGATGCCATTTAACTTCTTTCTCATTTTTACCAGCAAAAATAGCATAAGAATTTGACATGAGCTTAGGAATTAAGCGGATTCATCCGAGGAGCGAAATTATATTTGAGTCCCGAGTAAGTCTCAAAATTTGATTCGAATCGCTTCCATGAAGGAAGAATAATTGATGGCTTGATTTTATCCATATAATCTCACACTCTGAATCATATTTTAATTTGAAATAAAAATTTGAAGTATATTGATTTCATATCAGTTGATATCAGTTGCTCATTAACTGAAATAAGTCTTGAAATATAATACAATATAACTACCAAAACCTCCATCTAAATCTGGCGACGAACTTTTTCACTTGAAACCGTCGGGTTCAAACATGGTTTTTGAAAGGTTTCTGAAGGCGGCCCTCTTCTTCTTCAAACAGCTCTCATCATTACTGGTTAGGCTGGCTCCGCTGGCTACAAGACGCCATCAGTAAGTACTAATAGAAGCCATTCCTTTTTCCATCGTCCGAAGGCATTCGAAATAGCTGAATCAGTTACTCAAATTTATGGGATTTCCTATTTTTTAAGTTATAATAAGCCTCGTAAGCAAATTTTTAAAGATCTTTTGATTTAAACCAAGGAAGGCGATTCCAAATTTTACTCCAAATACTTTGGCTCGAGAAAATGAATAGATTTGATTTTAGCGGGCTACATCATCTCACCAACGATATTTCACTTTAATGCATCATTCATTTTTTTGAGATATTTGAAAATAATCCAAAGGAACTATTAAAAAAACGATATGTCAATTATATATTGTGATTGATAACAGTTTTTTCCCGCTAAACAAAATTATACAAATAAAATCATTTGTGCTTGGAATGAACGGTTGTATTTGCCTTATTTCATTTTAAAATGGTATTCCTCGATCCATTTATTCGACCAATTTTTATTGAAATTGTATTTGTGAGAAAATATTTTTTTATTAAATGTTTTATTTTAGGCAATTTATTCGAAATAATCATTGTATTTAAAGTGCAGATGACGCGAATTGCGGAAATCGACGAAAAACATAAAGGACATTAAAGTACAAACCAAGGTGTCGATTATATTCGTACAAAAAAATTTTGAAAGTTTAGAAATTGAAAAATTTATGAGGAACAAAAAACTTATTTCACCAGTAATATTACTTATATTACTCAGTTAGAATGGAGGTTAATCACTTCAGTATAGTTTATTCAGTGAAATACCATTATTGAATAAAGTATTGTTAGTATTGACTAAGGTAAATACAGCGACAAAATAGCGAAAATTCAGAGCGACAAAATAGCGACGATAGATTGACATTTTGCATTAGTTGAATTTAATGCCAAACTTCCAAAAAAATTTTGCCTTATTTCTAAACATGGTTTATCAAGAAAGAACAAATTTTCTGAACAAATTTTATTATTTGAATTTATTATTCAATAATTTACAAATTATTAAAGGTAAAGAAATATCGTTCTTTTCGATGAAATTCTTTAATTATTCAATAAAATGCGAAGTAAATCGAACACTCCATTAATATTGTTATGGTACGTTCGTTTCTGTTACCAAAGATGTTGTTTATTTACGTGTTAAATTGTACCATTCACTGGCTTTTAATGGAGCTCTTTGCAAGAAGACCAAATTATCAACGGTGTTGTTTACGCACAAAATTGAACGAAAAAGCAAGAAAAATTCAGTCAAAAGCGACAAAATAGCGACAACCGAAAATCTAAATCGACATAATAGCGCCGATAGATTTATGACAATTTCATTAATTTAACGCTAAATTTTTCTAAATTTTCTAAATTTCTAAATTTTCTAAATTTTTAAATTCTAAATTTAAATTCTAAATTCTAAATTTTTCTAAATTTTTGCTTATTTTCACACATGATTTAGCAAGAAAAAATCTTTCTGAACAAATTTCATTGTTTGATTTTAATATTCAATAATTTACTAATTATTAAGGATGAAGAAATATCGTTGTTTTCGATGAATTATTTAATTTACTCATCAATGAATTTAAAGTGAAATCGCACACTGCCTTAGGCAATAATATAATTAGTATTATTATAAGTTCATTTCTATTATCAACGGCGTTATTTATACGCAAAATATCACACAGTGATATTTTTTAGATCAAATTGAAGTTGAACAGTAAAGCAAGAAAAAAACGATTTATCAATTATGCATTTAACTGACGGCAATATTTATGCTAATGAGATTCCATAAAATTATTTCCGCTTGGAATGAACGGTTGTATTTGCTCCATTCCATTAAAAAATTTCTCTCTTCAATTCATCAAATCGGTCGGAATTGTATTCATAAGCAAATATTTTTAGCCTATTTATTCAAAATATATTTATTGTATAATGACGCAAAATGCGGAAATAGATAAAACTGAAGGGCATGAAAGCAGAAAATCAAGGCTAAATTCATTATTATATTATTTATTGTGGCACAATTATTTCGATGAAAAATAATATTTTTGGATGAAAAACAATAATATTCTTTAGCTCGAAGAAAAGAAAAAAATAAAAATTCTCAGCAAAAATTAGAGAGTAACTGTACGACGGTGCAGTGATGATTTATTTCTTTCATTCTTATTATCATCATTTAATTAAATTTTAATTAATTTTTACCACTTTTTCTTAAAATATTTATATTATTTCGACAATGCCGCACTGATTATTGATAAAAAATGATAAAAAACTTAAAGCATGGAAAAAATTTCATTCAATAACGCTTTTCGCTTAACAACTTGTCAAGTTTTTATCAAATTTTTAACTTCTGTATATTTATATATTAGTATATTTATATATTAGTATATTTATTTAGACGTGACGCAAAACATCGAAATATATAATAAGAATCGAATTAAAGCGAAATAAAATTATTTGTTTAGTTATACTATGAACTAAACTTGCTAAATGATCGTTTCGCTAAATGATATTTCTAGTTGTGGTCAACTAACGTAAAGGATCGACGTGCTAAGATTCTCTTCAAATTACATGGAACTCGCAGTGAAGCTTAAAGTTTACTAATGCTAGCAAATTTTGTTTCCATCGCATTTTATTAAAATTAACATTTTTCCTCAAATTGCGAAGAGTAATGGAATCTTAAAATATTGCCGATCATATACTTAATAAAGCGCTTTGTGTTAATGAAGCTGCTGAGATGGGCTCAAGGTAATCCATATAAATTATAATAATAAATAAATAATTATAATGTTATAATGAAAAGAGAATTTATGTAAATTGCGCCAAATCTTCGAACATTATAGTTCGTCTGTTCGTCTACGTTAGTACCAAAATGATCAAAAGAATCCATAAGGTTGAAGAAGAGAAGTCTTGAGAAAATTATAAGAAAATCTTTATCACCAATAAAGAATCTAACTTTGATTAATTATTTAATGCTCTTAAAGAGATAATAATCGCAATATTTGAATAATTTTAGAAGAAAATTCTGGAATCAAAGAATATTCAAAAAGAAAATAATGAAAATAAAAATATTGTATTTAAATGTTTTTTAAAATCCAAAAACTGGAAATCTTCAGGAAATTTGCTTTTTTCATATTTTTTTCCCTTTTTTAAAACCATTTTTCATATATTTAAATATGTTCGCTGTTCTTTTTTTTGCGCCAAAATTTTCCCACTTTGTTGTTTTATTTTAGATGAGCTCATCAAATTACAAGAAATCTGCGAAGTGAAAATTATAAAGCTTTAAATATCAGAAGTTTTTGTTTACATAAAACTGCAAAATAAGATTCTTGTGAAAGATAATATCAATAGTATATCAATAATAAGCCAATAATTGCGTGAAAAATTCACGTTTTACAGGAAATACTCGAAAGCGATTCCGCTATCACGTGAATATTATAAATTAAAATATGTACAAGGAAATTTTATCTTATTAAATTAAATTTCATTTCGAATAAATTCATCAGATACCATTCAAGGATTTATTGGTCGAATACTTTATTATTATAGAATTTGATTATTATTTTTATTTTACTCATTCTAATAACCAAGCAACAAAGAACACCTAAAGGCTTTGAAATGTAAACTTTGCAAAGCCGCAACTTCTTTTTCTCGTCTCCTTTATATAATCGAAAAACACTATACTGTTTGGATTGATAAACTAAATATTGTATAAATATTGATAAGCTAATAAACTATATAGCAGTACAAATAAAGGTAAGAATAAAAAGAGGTAATGGTGAATCAAATGGTTTTTCTTTAGAAGAGACAATTTGAGCTCAAATAGTGAATGTTCGAAAGATTTATGTGCTCAAATTATGTTGAAGTTTACTAAAAGCTTATTGACTGTTTATCAAATTTCTTTATCAGACAAATATGATAAATAATTTAGAAAGAAGTTGAATTCAATTACTGCCTACGTGCAATAACCACACGTTCTTGCGCACTGTTGCATCATTGTTGTTCGAAATACACCGCCACAACTATTTGATGCTC